ATTCCTTTACTGACTCTAGATATCCATAAAAAATACCCAAATCCTTTTAACTGAGGCAGTTTTATTTGTTTCAAGATGGATTATTGTGCTCCTTTTAATTCAAATTTCATTTTATTGTTAAGGATGCAATTTGATATATCATTATGAATTGCTAAATTTCTAATTAAGAAATAGTAAGAAAGAGCCAAAAAATTGCTTACTTAAGATAAGTTTAATCAGGATTCTAGTTTAATATGAAATGAAACGAGAGTATGGATTATAATCTCAAAAAAATATAACATAGAGATATATAGACTAATTCTTAATAGAATGACAGCTAGCTAGATTGAAGAAGGAAATATAGAGCTTGAGCTTACATCTGATAACTATTAGAGAAAATTGTATCAAATTGCACTTCAATTACAAAAGGATTAAACTCAGAATTTTGAAAGCAGTATTGGTCATTAGCAAGAAGGAAGAAAACAAAAGACAATTGAAATTTTTTATAATATTTAAAAACTAGATTTCGGATTCTAGCAAACTTGAATAACTAATATCTGTAGAGTATTTTCATCAACAATGGTTTTGTAATAGATTTAAAAACTATTATGCAAAATAAGATGATGAATTATTGTGTAACATGTCATATAACTTATAAAATAAAATGATCAATTTAGTATCGATGAAGATGAGTTGTTTAGATTATTATAATTTAAACTGCTTTGATATAATTTTATACATATAATATTAAATCATGATTCTTTTACTAAGGCTAACGATTCAAAAAGAAAGATTTTAGCTATTGTTAAACTTAAAAAAATAGCATCAATAATTTAAATACTTTATATTAAGAAATTCTTCCGAGATTTCCCCCTATAGGTCTTTTAATTTCTCTATGCATAGATTAGTTATTAGTTATAGTCTGTAATATAAGTCTATCCCTGTGCTAATATGTTGATGATCTACCCTTCTTTATCTTTTTTGATTTGTGAGGAGTGTTGTATGAACTAATGAAATTGTTTTTTTTTTAGTTCTTTCTAAACGAGTATCTTATTCTTGAATTATTCATCCCATTCTATATATTAGAGATGTAAGAATTTAATAGGAATAATTTCAGGTTTCATCCTTGAGGTCTCCTTCATGATATCAATTATTTTTTTATTCTAATATTATTCTAATAGCTTCCAAGTTTCTCTTTACCTTTCCAATCACAAAACATATCCTTCGCTTAGGCAGCATCGAGGGAAGGATATTACATGGATTCATTCTTCCTTATATTGAGTTCAACTTATAATGTTTTGTGGTCTGATACTAGGTTTTTATTTTAGTCATAGATAAAATTTGATTTTTTCTGTCCGAATCTGATTCATTTGTGTCTAAACGTATTAGAATAGTAATTATAAATATGTCTTTTATTATAAATATTATTTTAATTAATATTAAAGTGGAATAGTTCAATTATCTAAATTTTCAAGAATAATATATTTAAGATCTTTTACAAAATAAAAACTTATAGATAGTTATTAGCTCAATAAGTGTTTAAAGAAAATAGACTGTATAAACCAAATATAGAATAAAAAGATTAATTATTTTGTTATTTTATTTTCTGTAAATATTTATTTCAATTATTATTTAAACCTATTAGTTTATTTAAATATGCTTGTTTATTTGAATATTTCTTTATTTCTCGTTTTATAGTTTCTTATAGAATGATCAGCTAACAACAAATTTAAGCTTAAATAATTAATTAAATAATTGCACAAATAATAACACTAGCTTCAAATATATTTTAAACTTATTCAGCTAAGATTTCTAATATAGGTATAATTTTTTATAATTAATACTATGTTATTAAAGATCTATTATATTGTTTAAGGTGGATTATTATCTTGCAAAACTTCTTTTAACTTATATGGTTTTTTGAGAAAGCTATGTTTAAATTCAGTTTCTTATTCTTAATAATCTTCTTGGCTTTTTATTTAATCATAAAATCTTTTATTTGAGAATTGATAGTTCATCACTTTAATGTTGATATACTCAGAATTTTCTGATTCAAAAATCTATTAATTAGTCGCAGTTAGAAATATTAAACAAATGTTAAAAATTAGCTAATTTGATAGATAATTTCTGGTTATAGTCTTTCAAATTAAAAAATTTAATTCTTATTTAAATTATAAATACATTATCTTATTTTTGATTTAGTTCAGAAATAATATTATTAGTTACTTTTAATTCCGAACTTGATTTATTAGTTCTAAGTGCATAATTATGTTTTGTCTTTTTTTTCATTTTAGAATAATAATAGAATTATATTTCATAATATTATCACTTGAATTATTATTTAGAATATAATAATAAACACTGAAGGTTCTGGAAATTATGTTAAAATGGTTATATCAACTTTAAATGATAAAAATTATATACAGTAATATGTAATTCTTATAGCCAAAACTATACCTTATTGTAAAAATATACTTTATTTGCTGCTAAATTGTTTGAATTCAATAAACGTTTCTATTATCTAGATAATTATATAATGATGAAATAATAAAAAGCTTTTTCGTTGTTTCACTTTTTGAAATAATTACTAATAATACTTTATTTTGGTGTTGGATTGGCAAATGTTAGAATTGCAAATAACAAGTCTTTTGTCTTGGATAGTTTTGTTCTTTATTAATAAAAGAATTTATGGTTGTATGAAAATGTTTAAAGATTTAACAGGTTAGATCTGATCATCCATTTTTGTATAATAATTATTACAAAAATGGATGATCATCAATTTTCTTAGACAGGGAATTGAATTGGAGGTTTATCAAATTCATTTTTTGGTTTTCTAAACAAAAATTTTCTTCCCTTCTTTTGATAAAATATTGTTAGGAAGAAGCCAAAAATTAATGAATAATAATGAAAATAAAGATATTTGGTTTTTATTAATTTTAAAATATTTGGTGAAAATCGAATGTAACCCGCTTTGATATTTTTCACAATAAAAATTATTTTAGTATATTTATTAAATTTATTAAAAAACTCATATTAATAAATTTGTTTGTGATTTCTGATTACAATTTGTGTTTTTTTTTAAGATGTAAAATTATTATTTTACTATTGATTTTAATTCTATAAATATTTTTTTACATTAGGATTTAATTTTCTTTTCCAAATCTTTTAGTAATTCTTTGTATTAATTGGATCTTTTTTGAAATGTTTATTTACTCTAGGTTGTTAACATTATATTAAATAAATTATTGTTTACTTTCATTAGCTCTCATACCTCCTCTTCGAGCAAGAATCATATCCACTGCAATACTTTGGATCTTTACTTCCTATGTTTTAAAATGTTTTGTAAAAATTGAAAACTTTATAAATATCTAAATTAAAGCAATTATTAATAACAATTAAACAAAATTTGTTTTTAGAATTTTTTTGAATTAAAAAAATCTGATTAAATTTCTTCTAAAATTTTCATTGATATTCCTCAACTCTATGAATTTTATAAATTTAAATTCTTGTTTTGTAATTAAAAGATAATCAATTAAATAGTTTAGAATCATAAACATCTAAATTATTTTATAATAATTTAATAATATAATATAACAAACAAAATAAATTAAATTTTATGTTCAATAATAAAAAAAAGCCAAATCACAATTACTATTTAAACTACTTCATTAGACAAATATTTGAGATTTGATGATAATATTCTTGTTGACATTACTTATGTATTGAAATAGATAAGAGTCCTTAGACTTGATACTTTTATAGGATTCTAATTAAAATATAAAGACTTAATTAGTTTATTTTATAGATTATAAATTTTTAATGCATTACATTTACGTATATGATAAATTGAAAAAAATGAATAACATTGTCTTATCAATTTTTTATTACAATACCAAGTGAAACTAATTATTTAAAATAAATAAGATGAAGTATATATTATTTTAGAATAATTAGATAAATTTTATATTAAAGTCTCTAAGTAAATAGGAACATATATTAAAGGGAAAATATTGAAATGATTTTTTTTGATTTAAAAAAATTGAATAAGAAATTTTAGATTTGATTTTTATAATGAAATAATATATTGAAGTAGGTTATGCTCTTTCTAATAGAGTTAAATGTTAGAATTGTCTTTAACAGATAATTAAAGATGAAATTAGAATAGGCCATGTTTTAGCTAGACAACCTGGATTAAATTTTGACAAGAAATTATGGTATCACTTGAATTGTCTTAATTCAATAAAGGGAGATAGAAATTAAGATTTAGATATAGTTAATATACATGGATTAAAGGAAGAAGATTAGAAGAAAGTAAAACAAAAAGTTGATTAGATAAAGAAATCTAGTTACTAAAAAAGTATATAAATAATAAACATTTTGTTTTAGAGGATTAAAAGGAAGTAAAATATTTGTCAAAATAGGAACACCTTTAAAATTATATAAAAATTTAAAGAGACTTACATTTAATTCAAAAAAAAAAATAATGTTAATAAGCTATGTTTTTTGAATAAATAGATTCGCCTGATGAATAATGGTGAAGATTATTAATTATCAAAAATTATAAATTAATAAATAATAGATTTAAAAATTTATATATTTAATTGATATCAAATCTTAAGAATTTACAAATTTTAGGAGCATTACCTATATCATAGACTTACAAATCCCATTTTTAGGAATACTATATTTCATCACATTATTTAATTTTTTAAATAATATTTTATCTAATACCTAGTTAAATTTATATCAAACTTAAGTTAAATTGAATCGGTAATTTAGTATATACTATATTCTGTTTACAATTTATTTATATTAAAGTATATATCTTTGTATTATATAGAATAATAAGATTTTTAAGTTTAACAAAAAGATCAAATAACTATATAATCAAACATTTAATATTATGATATATATGAAATTTCTTAAAAAATAGTATTTAAATTAAAATTACTATTTATTTATAAAACAATCGAATATAATATCTTTAAGATTATTAATTTATAAGATAAAAATTAATAGTTTCAATAATGCTATCTTGATTTTTGATTTTAAACTTTACTCATCATTATCTATTAAATTCTATTTTAATAATGAGCTGGTTATTTTTATTATAATTATTTTCCATTTGCTGTGAAAATTGAATTGATACCTCCTTGTAGATAATTGTTTGTAACCATTTAATACATTTACTTTTAACCAAATGTTTTATATGAGGTGATCATTGATGCTTATTTGGCTTAATCTAGATCTTAAATGATTCCAGCACACAGAGAGTTAGCAATTTTATTTTATTATATTTGTATCAAAATATGATTTATTCGAGCTTAAGCATCTTCGAATTTATTTTATTCACATGCTTTTCGAGCATCATCTATAGCCTCTGTTCCTTTAACTCTAAAATATTATGTCTAAACATCAGGATCTGTATCAATTTATATCATTTCTTAATCTGGATTGTAAAAGGTTAAGGATAGATTTGCTAATTTTTCAATGATTTCTCCATTTAATGGATTTTTTATTGTTAGTTTAGCATCTATAATTTTTACCTATTAATTGTTAATATTATTCATAAATTATGGAATTTGGATTTCAAAAACAAAATCTTTTCTTGTTCCTGAAATTAATTAAGGAAAATCAATTTCATAAGATTGATTATTTTATTTCCACATATTTCCATAAGTTTTTGATATTTTTATATCTTAATATGGTTAATCTGGATTAGATAGAACTTAAATTTTTACTTCTTCTCCAATAACAGAAATCAGACCTCCTAAAGCATCAACAAAAAATTCATCCAATAATGTGATATCTTGAACAAAATAAAAACTTCCATTTTTTAAATTACAAAGAGATGTCATTAATTTTGCATCATGTCTATCTCCAAATCCAAAAGTATGCAAAGTAAATGGATCCTTTACAATATTAATTTATTTTTCCACATCATAAACTGCTTAAGAATCGTGTCCATCAGATAATAAAAATATTGAACTCACATTATTCTTATATTTCCTATTGTTTAATTATTAAAATGCTAGATTTGTAGCTGCTGATATTCTTGTCAATCCTTAAGCTGTTATTGAATTAATAATTGATTTGAAGTATTCTTTATTTTATTCTGTAACACATTTTAATGGGGTCAATTATTCAGCACTTTCATTAAAAATTATTAATTGAAGTCTATCTTAATCACTTAAAAAGTTAAGCAAAATTAGTAATGTTTATTAAACCATATTTATTTTTTATCTTAACATACTTCCACTTCTATCTATTAGACAAATCTATTGTTAATTAAATATAAATACCAAATCCACTCCAACTCTCCTTTCTGTTTCAATAGAATCTATTTCTTAAGTTTTAATACTAATCATTGCAGGTAATTATTATGATTCTTCATTTTTTAATTTACAAGTTTTTTGAAGACACTTTATTTCAAAAGATACTTTAGATGATAAATCATTATTTGATAAATTTTTATTAATTTAATTTTCTTATGGTGCTATATACTCATCATTATCAAAAATAGTTTCAGTTTTGATTTATATTTCCTCTAATAATTATTACTTTCTTTTTCTTAATTCAGAGTATCTAAATAAATTTTAATTTGTTCTAGAAAATAATTAATTAAAATCTAGTTAAGGAGATTAGTCTCTAATTTGTGGAATAAACTAATCTAATTGGATATTGTTGTTATTAATATTTCTAGAAAATTAGCTCATTTAATTATTATGAGATTATTAAATCAATTTATAAGGTGTAATTTGTACATTTTATTATTGTGGAGAATAGTATTGATTCTTAATTTATTCAATTAATTGATTATTATTATTATTATTATTATTCATATCTCTTCTTACTGACGATGCTGATTATTAAGATTATTTTATTTAACGATGACCTATTTTAAAATGATTAACTTTTTGTTGATTGCTATTCTGGAAAGGGTTTTTTTTTAATTAATTTAAATGAAAGTTGATATCTATATTGTTTTGACGAATTTAATGTGGAGGTTGTTTCAATGTTCTTAAAAGTTGAACATTTAAAGATTTGTCCTCATCATAAAATAAATTTTATTGTTAAATTTATTGTTGTTGTATTTGAAATTACTGTTGGTTTCTTTAATTCATATGAGGTTGCTTTGATTTCATTTATTTTGAATTAATATAATGCTTATATGATTTGATTTTAATTTGCTTATAAATAATTAGATTTGATAAATTCGGAAACATTAAATTACTATTCAATTCTGTTCGAAATTTATAATATAATATAATTTTCATATTAAATATTTAATTGTTTTTCAACTAAAATAGATAACATTTTAATTGAATTTATAATCTTGTTAAGATGGTTAGTTAAAATCAAGAAAATTCAAAATGCTTAAGTCATTTCAAATGGATACAGAAAAAGATAAATATAATTTACATCAAAAGAGCCTAAAAATGTTTTAATAAGCTTATTTTCTCATTTATAATCATAATCTTATTCATTATTCGAAGATGTTATAGATCAGATTGTGCATTATAATTTTTCTATTATATATTCGATCTAAAATGAATTTTGATTAGAATAGTTAGAATCATTATTATATTGATTCCTTATTATATAGCTCGGAAATAAATATTGGAAAATATGTTTAAATAATAATATTTTCTTTAAATTTTACATACAAAAAATACTTAAAAAATTGATGGTGAATTTTCTTAAAAGAATCGAATTCAAGTAAATAAGTGGCAACTCATTTCTTAAAGAATAAATTCTTTAAGTATTAAATGTTGCATTAGACTTATAAAAGAGAAGATGTTGCCATATTCATCTGAATTTGATAAGTATAATTTGAAGTTTGCTGGAATTTATTAACAAGTGTAATATTTAAGATTTCTCTTTTGAAGAATTTACAAAAATAGCTATTTTATAACAATTCGAAGCATAAATTAATTGCTTGAACGTGAAGAATAGAAAAAAGACATGATTACATCACAAAGAAATCTACAACTATCATTTATTTCACTAAAATTTATGGAAATTAAAAGAAGGTATGGATATTGGAGAGAATAATACAATCATATCCCAAAATTTATTATTATTCATTTACATTTCTATTATTCTTTTTTGAATAATGGTTTTTATTTGTTTGAATTAATCATGATCTTATCGATATTTCAACTTAATACTAAGCTTAAAGTCTCAGAAGATAAGTAGATTAACGTAAATAAAAAAAAGTCTTACAAGAAGTAGTTTTGGAAGATAAAATATTAAAAAATCAAGATTAATTTTTAACTTTGTGAAAATTACTTGAATAATAAAATTGTAAAGCTAACAAAATTCATCCTTACAAAATCATACAATCTTAAATTTTTGCTTATTGATGGCTTGATATTATTACATTATTTGAAATGATTCTCTTTTAAATAAATTACAACATCATAGTACTCCTTAAATTCATTCAAATACTCTTTGTTCTTGATTCTTCCTATTTTACATTAACATATTTATAAAGAATAGAAAAAACGAGTGTCATCGTCTATCCAATTATTGCCTTATTGACAGAAAAGGGGTTATTACTAAATAATTATAGAAATCAAAAATAAAGATAAACTAAATTTCCTCCTACTATTACCAAAACAAAAAGCATTTATTCTAACAGTTGATTTAAACAGGAGAAATAATCTACTCTTCTGTAATTAAAGCTTGGTTATAATTTTTCATAATATGACTTTATTAATCAAGATGAGAAAGAAGAGTCAGGTGAAATAAATCGTGGAATATAATGTTAAAAGAAAATATATATTTCATTTAGATTAATATTATAATAGATTAGATTAATTATGATCGATAATATATTATATTCATTTTATTATTAATAATAATATATTTAATCATAATTGAATGGTTATTAATAGTATAGAAAACATTCTACATTGTGTTAATAATGATCAATAAAATTAATAATGAATATTCATTTTTCATTAATAAATAATGTAATAAGTTAAATATCCATAATTTGATATTTAATCTTCAAACTAATTAGAAAATCTATAGCAATAATTATTCCAAAATACTAAATAGGATATTAAATATTTACCAGTTTAGCCACAATATAATCTGAATTTACAATAATACTAATTAGTATCACTCCCTTATACAAAATAAACAAATACTTAACAAAACTATTACAACCTCGATCAACTACCTTAATCTACCAATTCATATTTATTGAAAGATTCAGATTTCTTAACTTAAAAGTTCTTTTTAAGTAGTATTTTAGGAATGTTCATATTTTGGACATTTCTATTTGTCTTAATCTTTTTTATAATGATGATTTTGTTTGGAAGAAATCTATATAAACATTAAAATGCCTATCCTTATTGTTTTGCTGCAAGTGTTATTATTTTGATTTTTCTAGTAAAAATAGGGTCTATGGAAAAGTTTAGAAAAGTAATTAATCTCAATATATTTATTAGACAGAATTGACACTTCTAATATATTTTGGATCTATCATTGCATATACATTAACATTCTTTTTTATTATTGCTTCCTTTTCTACAGATCCTAGTATTGAAATGTCAGGTAATGAAAGATATTTAGAATATATTAGGTGCTTTTATTGCTGGATTATTATTAATTATTCCATTATTCTCTAATTTTATGGTTACAATCATTTTGTTAATGTATGTATTAATAGAAACTAAGTAATTCAGATATTTTAGTAAGTTTTTCAATTTAAATTTAATAGGGGTTTTCTTTTTTGAATTTTTGTGTGTATTACCTTTTGCTATTATTTAAATTTAATATATAATTAGTTTAGTAATCATATTACCATATACATGTTTATTGATAAATGTCTTAAAATAAATTCAACTAGGAAGAGTAAGTTTATAAAATAAATAATTAGTTTAATTTAAGTAAAGATTAAGTACTTAGTGGCACTTTGGCTGCCTATTATGGGATATTTGTGCCTTTTGTTTTATTTGATTGATATAAATATATGTTAGAATTTTATTACTTTAAGTACAAATACAATTATTCTTAATTTATTCCAAACTTATTGAGTATTTTGTATTTAATTTAATAATTTATTTTTAAACTTTTAGATAATAAATTACAGAAATTAATACACAAATACACATTACTTAATAGTGTAGTCATGGAAATTAAAATTTAGAAAAATGGTTTTATCTTGAAATTTACAAAGAAATTATGACAATTTCAATTTATATGATAATAACATAAATTGTAATCACTCAGAATTTATAAAATATTGAAAAAAAAATTAATGAAGGATTATATAATTAAGTATATAACAATTATACATTATATAATAAATATAAATTCTTAACAGAATAAATTAACTATCTAAAATTGATGAATTTAATAAATAAAGTATTCTAGAAGATATGGAATATTTAAATTCAAGAATATTAGATTGTCTAAATTCATAATTTACTTACCATTATCCACTCTTTTTTTATTCTTTTTATATTGATTATTTATCCTTTCTAATTTGAAGACACTTTTTGTAATGTCTTATAATCATACTCTATAATCTTTATAAAATATAAAATTAAAAATTGGTTTAATCTTAAAATCAAATATAATGGAATTTTTTATCAAAATAAGCCCATTCGATAGAAAATTTATCATTTTGAAAATATAAATTACTCATCTAAATTAAAATTGATATTATTATATTTCTAAAAATTGTTACCATTCTAGAATTCTATTATTTTCTAAATAATCAATGTATATAATTGTAACAATATCTATATTTAGATCTTACACAATTAGAATAGAGTTCATCAGATATTTATATTTATTTTTACAATTTTTTGAAAAATCTTTCAAATTATTATCTTAATCTTTCTAAAAATCTGATTTTAGATTTTAGGTAATAAGATTAGTTTGGACTACAAATCTTTTGTCTAGTCTGTATTATAATTCCCTTTTCTTACTTTTGCTCATTCTTATCTCACTTTTATATATTAAAATTGATCTTCTTAATAATCATATTAAAAAAAATATATCACCAATCTAATTATGAAATTAGTAATAATATTGTTTGATACAAAATTCATTATAGGGCATTAATATTGATAATTTTATAACTCAAATTTTTCTTTATTATATGTAAATTTAAATCTAAGCTTATTACTCATTAATATAATCTATATATTTAGTTTTATATTCACTAAAGCATTCAAAAAATACTTATTATTTAATCATCTTTATGAATTTTCAAAATAATAGAGCTCTAATAAATTGATATTTTCTAAGATAAATTTTAATCAGAGTATTCATATAATTTAATCTTATTATAGTTAATTCATTCTCCTAATCAAATATCATTTTTATATGATAATCAATATTAAATAACAAGTAATAAAATTAATATTATAAATTAAAAGAATATCAATTAAGCATCTTTGAAATTTATGAGCAAAGTTGATATAAAAAATAAGTTACAGAATTTTAATGATTAAAATTTTATAAATTAATTTAAATAAATTTGATAATCCTTATTTTATGATCTTGATAAATAAATTTGATAACTTATCTAAATAAGGCTTTCGAATAAATTTATTAGATATATGAAATTAACGATAAAAATAGATCTTAAAGAAAATTAGTAATTGTTTCAATCTTCATCCTTAAAATTATAATTAAAAAACTGATATATTCATTTTCTATGTTGAAGTATATAATGACCTATAAAAAGATATTATGTAGTCAAGAATTTAGATAATCCTTTAAAAATGATATTAAATTACTTTTATCTTTTAATTCATAAAAAATAATTAATTTATTGATGTATTTCTTGAAGTTTAAATCTATTAATATAATATTTGTAATATAAAAATAATAGAATTTAGTTTAATTAATGTCATAAATAAATATAAATTAGATATACAATATTAAAAATGATTTAGAAATTGAATTTATAGCTAGAATGCTTAATAGATGATCATAAAGACAAAATAGTAATGATTTGTTATAATTAAAATTGTACAGAATTTAGATTAAATTGCTTTAAATGTTTAAAAAAAGGAAGAATACATCTTGATCATATTGATGATGTAGAAAAATTCAAAACTTTGATTGAATTCATTAAAAATAAAAATCAGGCATGTGATAATTTAATTAATCATCTTAGTACATATATAGAAAGTATGAATCAATCATTTACTTAATTAAAATGTGGAATTAGATAAAAATATTCATTATAAAATGAATAATTAGTAAATCTGACTTCGTAATAACTGAATGATTACTTGAATTCAACTGTCAATTTAATTGAATACAAATAATCAATCACAGCAATCATATCAGATTATACTAAGAAAATTACTCATTAATTTAATATTTTGTATGAATAACTCAAATTATCATCATTTAATTATTATATGATTAATGATAATGATAATTAACAATTATTAAAAGAATAATAAAGTAACTTTGAATAAAATAATACATTACCTTAGTTGTTATCACCAGGCATTCAAAATCAATAATTTAGTAATTAAGATATTGATGAAGTTTCATCATTAATAAAGGTGAATCTTAATGATCAAGTAAAAAAGGAGAAGTTATCTCATAATTAAGAATTAGATAAACTTAGTAATAATTATTCATAATTAAATTAAAACTAAGAGAATGAAAAAATATTATTGAAAGAAACAATCAATACCAAAGATTAATAGATATAATATGAGAATTCCGAAATTTAAAATTTATCAACATAAACTGAAACATAATAATCTATTCTTCAACCATCTTCTTCCTCAATTACAAACCAATTTATTTATGAAAAGATAAATAATCATTCAATTAAATAAGATAATTATTGTTATGCAATAGCTATTAATATTGATTGTTCAATTATAATAGTTGGATGTAAAAAAGAAATTATTGTATATTAATTAAAATAAGATAAGTTAGAACAAACTTAAAACCTTAAGGAACATTAAGGTGATGTAAATGCTTTAAACTTTATGAAAAAATCTAATCAATTTATATCTGGAAGTGATGATAATAATATTTTTTTATGGTCTATGAATTAAAGCAATAAATGGATTTTGTTATAGAAATTAATTGGACATAATGATTGGATATTTTGTTAAATTTTGAATGATAATGAAGACTTGATCATTTCAGGAGGTCAGGATAAAACAATTAAATTTTGGACGTAGAAGTAAAATAAGTGGTTATGTTAATAAACTATTACAGATCATACTGGATATGTATGGACATTAAGTATAAATTAACAATAAAATGAAGTAATTTCAGGTGGAAATGATTAATAAATATTAATAATAGAACAATCATAAAAAGATTCTAAATGGATTGTAATCTAAAAGATAAAAGTTGAATCATATGGTTATCGAATAACCTTTATTAATAGTAATACATTCACTTTCTAACCAAGGTAAATGGAATAAATGTATGTTTATGAAATGAATAATACCAAAAAATAGTATATCAAGACAAAAGATGTTCTTGTTAAGGGTGGAATGGATGACTACTGGTTTTTCCCTCAATAATACATTAAATCAAAACGCTTACTTGTAAATAGGAATGGAAAGTATTTGAATTTGATAAGAATAAAGGAAAATGGTGAGTTTATTACAGAATAATTAATTGAATTTGGAAATTCATTTTTTTTTGGATGTATGAGTTAAGATGGAAAATATTTAATAACTTGGGAAGAAAGT